AAGTTTAAAGTGACTGTGGAAATTCTGTGTATTACAAAAAGTTTGTATTGAGAAAGAATAAACTAATTTTACTCAATAAGGGACTTGTATCGTTGAAGTTCCTCGGAAAGAAATTATACCGGAAATTAACAAACAAGCAGATACGTAACAGTTTGAAGTATGTATATGGTTTTGTGTTATATATGCCTCGCTTTATTTCCTCATTTAAGATAGAAGTTGTCATCTGATCATTTCCTTTACTTAGTCCACCTTTTTAAAGCTAATCATTCATTTATTGTCAGGGGTCACATGACCAGGTGAAATGACCTTAAACATCACCATTATTTTGTAGCTCATTTGCTCACCCACCGTGCTGACGGCAGTATTATCACACCTTTTGTTTCCAAAACTCTCAACAAAACCCAATCAAACTGCTGGGGCAATACTTGCTTATCCATATTCTTCCAACTTGGCATGCATAATGTAGGCATAAACCAATCAGCACATTCAGTATTATTTTTATCTCCCTACTGAAGTATGTTAATACCAGTTACATTCCTTGGTTATTATTGAAAGTTTGTGGCAAAACGAAGAAAAAAAGTTCAGTGTATACTGTACTGATAGATATAATTGGCATAATTATTATTTACTATCAGTGGCTTATGAAAGGGTGTTGTCTTTTTTTTTTCTGACATATGGGTTGCTGTATATTGTTTGTCACAAGAGGTAATCACTAATTACACAGGGTGTGTGCCACAAAACTGTATCATTTTAAATTGACTTTACTTATTAATTTACAGATATGGTTGCATTTTAAACATCCAGTCAAATCAAACTTGTATATTGATACTCATAGAAGTATTTGTTACTTGTTCAAAATAGCTCTAACAAATTGTTTAGGCATAAAACCTTCAGAAAAATCTGAGTCAAATTTTGGCCAGAAACTGAAGGTCGATGAAAATTTAAGGAATGAAGAGTCAAAAAAGTTTCACAAAGTTTTGAAGCAGAATGGCTTGAGTTGGTATGTGCAAGATGCCAAGAGATTTTGACAATGCTCAATTTGTAAAGAGGTTGGAAAAAGCAATACATATGCTCATGTAAATGAAGGTTCTGTTAAGACTACAAATTGTAATCAGCATTCAAAATGTGTAATTTAAAAAAGAAAATGCAATTAAGTTTGAAAAATACTTTTATATTATTTTGAATATGAATAAAAACAGATTATTTTATTGATTGGCGTTCAAAATGTAAGTTAAAAAATAAAAATAAAATGCAGTAAATAAAAAAAAAATTGTTTTATATTTTGAATAAAGAAAAATTAAGACAAATTAAAATGGTTTTCTCAGATTCTGAAGAAAACAGTTTTAAATTAGAGTTATCATTATTTAATGCTTCAAATTGCATGTGTATGTATGTATGTGTGTATATATATATATATATATATATATATATATAT